TAATAGAGTCTGGACCAGACAGTCCAGTTATTGACATCATGAGTATCGATCCCGGCAATTAGGATCGATGTCTGCATCAACCAAGTCAGCGAGTCTGACCACCCAATCCCCGTAGTCGCCTCTTACGACAAGCATAGTCGCCTTTTATGGAAAGTATGGGTTGCTGAAGACCTATTCTTACCCGGATCTTCACGGGTCGTACCAACAGGAAACAGGATAGCTGCCCTTTCACCAATCAGAATCAAGCATTCTTCAATGTCAAGGAAGAATACAATACCAATGCAACGAGTTTAGGACAGGTTAGTCTCATGAACATGAACGTATTTTAGTCACGGAAAGGTAACGGTTTAAGAAAAAACCCTTATAAAAGCATATCCAATTTTCAATGAATGTGAACTTGAGATCGTGTTCTATAGTCATTTGAATTCGCTATCGGGTACATTTGTTTTGTATACAAATGGTTTTGAAATCTGTCGCCAAATAGTTGAATGCATGTCAAGCCGATGACAACCCATAGACGTCAACACTGTCAGCCAGATCAAGACTCACGATCACATACAATTTTAAGTTTGTGAATTAGGTTTCTACGTCTATATTTATCTTTTTGTTTGATAGGCATTACTTAGAAGTTAACGGATGACAAGGTACACACAATTTTATGGATAACAACTCCTTTCATACTGTAAAACGCGACTGTCTTGCTTGACAACAGTATAAGGATATTTACCGAAACGTCGCCTTTACAGTATTAAAGAAGATTTTTATCCATAAAATTGTGTTTACCTTATATAATCTTCTCAGCACAATGAATATATAATCTTTTAGTAACTATAAAGTTGATTTCATTGACACGGACATTACCACTTTTTGTTCCAACATATGACAAGCATGTAATAGAGGATAAGAAGAAACAGTGTTTAGACATGGCTCCCAGCACATAATATATATGACATAGACAACTGCACCAATTTCCAAAAAACACTTTGCATGCAACATGGTACATTGTGACCTTGACAAAGTACATGTAACGCCCTCGTACATTCAGTGGAGCACCAAGTCGACAAGGCGCTGGTAACAGGCGCTCCGATAAATACGAAATGTTAGGTCTCTGGACGGTTAAATTTTAACATTGATGGTTCAAGGCTGATAGTTTAATACACGCAGGAGGTATCATTTACATTACTGATTGATTCTTAGTTGGAAGACGTTTTTTCCTTGCTCGATGTGTCAGATGCGACTGTGTAAAAAAAAAGAGCAAAATTTGGGAGTAAAGTGGTATTTTGATCTCTTGCCACCAGTTAATAATTTTGAATTATATTTACATCTAATTCCGTTTTCACAAAGCCCATGGCTTGACTTGGAGACACGAACCACATATAAACACCAACATTCTAATTATTATTTTAGGTGGTGCCACTGGGTAGTAAACATGTTGAACCTCATATCACTAAATAATGACAAATAATGTCACTGACAACCGTTTAATATTTAATTGATTATTTTGAAGGATGATAAGAATCAGGTCTTTGAAAGGCATTTAGAAGTGATACACATAAGGTTGGTTTGTTTGTTGTTGAACGCCGCATTCAGCAATATTCCCGCTACATGACGGCGGTCTGTACCAGACAATCCAGTGATTGATATCATGAGCATCGATCCACGTAAGATACACATGAGGAAGATAATTTATGGATGTCAACTTCTTTATTACTAGGAACACAACGTCAGCATATACTCCGAAACGATGTGTTCATCATAACAAAGAAGTTGACATCCATAAACTATCTTCCTAATAACAAGAATGTTTTCTGTTTTCTATCAATTTTACAATGACATATTAAAACATGTCGGTGAGATAAATTCGTTGTAGCAGGACCACTCGCGGTACATGGGGTTTTATGCGTCCCTATACAGACGGTCCTGAAACTGTTTATTTTTCTTGATTTCTCTTCGAATGTTTAAGTTACATCTGTGATAATAACTATATAATAACACTCGCTTCAATTTGATACCAAGTTGATGTTCCTCGTTAAAACATATTTCACTCGGTACATAAACTATATTAAACTGAAACTCGCGTTATATCCGTGTTATATCCTATCAATCCATGCTGACAACGGCCTAGCAGGTGGCTTGAGACTGGTAAAAGTGACTAAGCAATGTTGTCCCATGTAACGGGGTGAAATAGTAATAGCTGTACATTGTAAACGTTACGCAGAATACAAATGTACATCCATTTAATATAGCCATGACGTTACAGTGTGTATCCACTGTATACTTACATACACCAATCATGCCCGGAAAACTTGGGACTTATAAACTGTAACTTATTTTGTTGGGGTTACCACGACTCACTTATATGGAACCTCTAAATATAAAACGTCAACGCTAGAGAACAACAAGTCTACACAATCTGCGAACACAGCTTCCACTGGGCGTAAAAGGCAATGTAGTGGAGAACAAAGGGTTTGGGTAAATGAACAGTGTCCGTTCGTGAAAGTCCCTTTGGGAATCGTTATTGGCTACATTACAAAGAGCTTAAGAATATTTTTCAAAAGTAGATCAAGGTAGCGTCGCTCGGATCATTGTGTGAATGTGTCTTATTGAATACAGCTATGAAAAGTGTTTTTTCAAAAGCGTCTGTCGCATGCCAACTCAATAACATCCAATCCACGCCCACACTGTCTGCCATGTCTAAGATTTTTACTTTGCGATTAGAGGTAAGTATTACTTTGTTTTACATTGCTGGTATGTTTTATGTAGAGTCGAAATAATATATCTATCGTCCTCGCCACGAATCACGAAATATCGCGATGATTAATTAACGAAGATAGCTGCATGTGTGCCAATACTCTTAGGGTTAAAACAAGCCGTTTCGCCCATAAGGAATGGTACGCACAGAAAAGACACAAATTGGAAAGTGCGCTTATCCAATTTCTTATTGATAACCACCATCATCGAGTTTTGGCCTGGTGAGATATTCTATCACTTAAACCATTTATTTTGTTGATATCCTCAACTGTAGAGTATGTTTTCTGAAACCTGATGGTACTGATAATATCACCTTGAGAATCAGGTTAGTAGCGCATGATTTTGCTCAGTGTGGAGGTGAATAGCTTGCCGACACAACGTAGGATTATTACTTGTCGACCCTAGTCTGTCAGGCAGCTATTGCATACTGTTAATCATGAATTTATTGGGAATATAACAGTATGTAATTTGTTTTGACGTTACCAGGAAGTTTAGAAGTTCAGCTCCGATATTCAACACTGCCTCCGAAAACAATGTGAAGGCTCAAGTATTTGCTAGGCGACAGTACTTAATATACGGATAATGTATGTCTCAATTTCCTCTTTGTCTGTACTTAAAAAAGCGACAAAACACTTTTAATAATCATAATGATAAATATAACTAAAAACATAACAGCGACAAAAACCTTTCCATAGCCACAAGAAAACTTGGCTAAAAGCAGATTGGATTGTACAATTTCGACAATATCATGAGCATGCGTTTATGAATCACTATCAAATAGTGATGACACCAGGTGTTTGCCTAAAGGTGAGCGTATCCTGTCCCACTGGTGGTACGCGAAACAAACACAAGCAAAGGCAAGTAAATTGTTGGCAATCACTATTCTGACCGTGTTTCAAAATTTAAATTGGAAATAGGAAATTTCTATTATTCATGCATATTTGACATGAAGCTCTTTCATGTTGATGACAAAAACCGAAATACACAGACTTAAATTAACTGGAGAAAATACGATAAATGTTGTGATGTGCAATTGGAGGGCGCGGTTTGATTAACGTGCATGATCTTCATGTCAAGACCCATGATGAAAACAAGGCATTCCACAGTTTTCCTAAACGAGCCAAGGATATGGGACATTATCTCAATGTCAGTGGTGATTTTGTTGATGGTTCTGTACTGCCCGACGGTACAGTAATGAGTGCCAACCAAGCGAAGTGCCATATTAAAACGGCCCAGACCTTTCAAGGAGGGGCTGTCTGAACAACCACTGCATCGAGTTTATGCGCAGTCTGTTGAGAATAGCAACCCCGCAGAGTCCTGTGCTTGGATGAAGACGGCTTGCCTGTAAAGTGAAACAGAAGGTTTTCTGTTTGCTGCTCAGTACCAGTCACTTCCCACTCGAAACCGTCAATGTGTGATTTTGCATCAAAATGAAAATATGAAATGTAGATTATACAAAGAATATAATGAGACTGCCCAACAAAACACACTGGCTCAAACACTGTGTCTTAAGCGACATGATGGAGTCGTTCGATGATTTTATTACCGTCGGCGCCATACTTGTGGTACGACCCAGAATATGTAGAGGGCATCATGGAAAATGATAAATACACAGCCTCAGACCTGTCCAGGCCAACAAGCTTGATGTTGTCCTTTTTCATATATCCAATGACTACATTTAGAACATTAAAGTTTCTTTCACTTTTAACAGTAATGTGATTGACAAGATTCAGGAGAAAGATGGTAAATATGCGGACCTCGCTTTCGAAATGTCACGCTTACATCACAAGTACTAAGTTGTCCAAATCCCAATTGTTCTTGGTGCCTTAGGTTTGGTTCCTCCCTCTCTTATGACTGACACTAGGAGAGTACCTGGGTTTGCTGCCAGGAATACAGCCCTTCTGATAATCTGGGTAATGCAGAAGGCTGTAGTGTTGGGGAGTCTTCGTATTCTGCTAAAAGATCTGAGTGGGTTGACTGGGCAACACTGCGTGTAGAGGGGGCAAGGGACCTGAGCTGATGATGAGCCTAACCAGCCTGACTGTGCCATGATCACCCTAATCCCCTTTGCTGCATTTGATATTTTAATCTGTAAATAATGAGTCCAACCATATACTTCTCGTCTAAGAGTTTGAGGATCTGAACACATTGTTTTACTTAAATCTGGGATAACAGTCTAATTTCTTGAACTTGAAATTAATACAGAAAGTCAAACATGTGATCTCATTTTATCTATTTGTTTATTACAGACAGTTCTGACTATGAAGGTGCCACGAAATCGAAGCATGGTTTGCCTTGGTTTTGGAGTATCACTGTTTGCTGTTGTAGCGTATGTGCTCACCATAAACCAAATTAAGTTTGCAAGAAAGGTTCAACCAATGTTAATGACACAGTACGAATTCAATGCAACAGCTAACCCTCCCACTTTACAGAATGAAAAATGCCCTAACGTCACCAAAGGCATGATGAGAGGAAAATGGAGAATTCGAAAACTTACGAGAACAGAGCAATCTGAAATTGATGGATTTTTGGCCAGAGCAAGAAAGGTTCATGGCATTCTCTCCTTGCAAAGGAATGACAGTAAATGCTGGAACATATCTCTCAGTAACAACTGGTTCCGTGCTCTATGTAACCCAAATGGTCCCACTCCTTGTTGTCATGGTACCACTTGTGTAAAGAAAACCGTTGACGAGTGCAAATGTCCGAACTGTTACGATCACCGACACAACATACATGCAGAATACTCTACGTGGGAGCCCGAAGATAGCCGATGTCAGGTGAAGAACTTTACAGCCCAGAAGGCATGTGATCTTCTACAGGGGCTGACAATAACCTTTGTTGGGGATTCTCTTCTGAGACACATCTACACAGGGTTTCTTCTACTTCTCTCCAACAATCCTTTTGATGGGGCAATAAAGACAGATGCTCCCAAAGGTAAGTCAAACCCTTACCTGCCACAAACACTTCCGCTTAAGGTACCTGCCACACTACCTATCGATCCCAACAGTCGTCTATTTCCACACTCCCGTATACCTCTGGTATCTGTAGACGCTTTTCCCCCATTTCCTGTGACATTTAGGCATACTCTTTTACATTCCGGTATCCTTGTGGGTACACTAACGCGTCCTTATGACGAGCCCCTCATACCTGTAGTCATCTTCACACATGTAGGCATCTTCACACCTGTAGGCCTTTCACCTACAATTCCGTATCGCTCTTGTTGTGTGTAGGCTTATTCTCAACCAGGGCACCGTTCCACGAAGCGATCTTAGCGCTACGACTATCGTAAGCACGTGTTAAAGTATGGGAGTAACGATCACCTTAGCGGTATGTTGGCTTTGTGGAACGTGGCCCAGGCTCTTACACGTGGAGCCACCTACTTCAACATCCACGTATCCTTTGCGTATCTGTAGGGGATTCCCCTCACATCTGTAGGTGTACACTTCCCCATGTACACTCCCGTAACTTTGTAGATAATATGTAGGCTCCTTTACCTCAAACCTGAAGGAATGTAATCTCCTCTACCCTTGTTTGTTTTTGAAGGCGCTTTCTTACCTTTCCTGGCAACTTCACCACTCCCGTATCCCTGTGGGTATCAGCAGGCGACTTACTATCTTTACTTCAAACCTGCAGGTGAATGTATGCTCTTCAACACTCCCGCACCTTGTGAGCACCTTGTGAGGTGCCTTCTTACTGTTCATTCACATCTGTAGGCATCTCCTCCTCACACCCTCGTCCTTGTGAGTATATGTCGGTGCCTTCTTACTGTTCCCTCACATCTGTAGGCATCTCCTCCTCACACCCTCTTCCTTGTGGGTATCTGTCGGTGCCTTCTTACTGTTCCCTCACATCTGTAGGCATCTCCTCACACCCTCGTCCTTGTGGGTATCTGTCGGTGCCTTCTTACTGTTCCCTCACATCTGTAGGCATCTCCTCCTAAAACCCTCTTCCTTGTGGGTATCTGTCGGTGCCTTCTTACTGTTCCCTCACATCTGTAGGCATCTCCTCCTCACACCCTCTTCCTTGTGGGTATCTGTCGGTGCCTTCTTACTGTTCCCTCACATCTGTAGGCATCTCCTCACACCCTCTTCCTTGTGGGTATCTGTCGGTGCCTTCTTACTGTTCCCTCACATCTGTAGGCATCTCCTCCTCACACCGGTGCCCTTGTGGGTATCTGTCGGTGCCTTCTTACTGTTCCCTCACATCTGTAGGCATCTCCTCACACCGGTGACCTTGTGAGTATCTGTCGGTGCCTTCTTACTGTTCCCTCACATCTGTAGGCATCTCCTCCTCACACCCTCGTCCTTGTGAGTATCTGTCGGTGCCTTCTTACTGTTCCCTCACATCTGTAGGCATCTCCTCCTCACACCCTCGTCCTTGTGAGTATCTGTCGGTGCCTTCTTACTGTTCCCTCACATCTGTAGGCACCTCCTCCTCACACCGGTGCCCTTGTGGGTATCTGTCGGTGCCTTCTTACTGTTCTCTCACATCTGTAGGCATCTCCTCCTCACACCGGTGCCCTTGTGGGTATCTGTCGGTGCCTTCTTACTGTTCCCTCACATCTGTAGGCATCTCCTCCTCACACCGGTGTCCTTGTGGGTATCTGTCGGTGCCTTCTTACTGTTCTCTCACATCTGTAGGCATCTCCTCCTCACACCGGTGCCCTTGTGGGTATCTGTCGGTGCCTTCTTACTGTTCCCTCACATCTGTAGGCCTATCCTCCTCACACCGGTGCCCTTGTGGGTATATGTCGGTGCCTTCTAAATGTTCTCTCACATCTGTAGGCATCTCCTCCTCACACCGGTGTCCTTGTGAGTATCTGTCGGTGCCTTCTTACTGTTCTCTCACATCTGTAGGCATCTCCTCCTCACACCGGTGTCCTTGTGAGTATCTGTCGGTGCCTTCTTACTGTTCTCTCACATCTGTAGGCACCTCCTCCTCACACCGGTGCCCTTGTGGGTATCTGTCGGTGCCTTCTTACTGTTCTCTCACATCTGTAGGCATCTCCTCCTCACACCGGTGTCCTTGTGGGTATCTGTCGGTGCCTTCTTACTGTTCCCTCACATCTGTAGGCATCTCCTCCTCACACCGGTGTCCTTGTGAGTATCTGTCGGTGCCTTCTTACTGTTCCCTCACATCTGTAGGCATCTCCTCCTCACATCGGTGCCCTTGTGGGTATCTGTCGGTACCTTCTTACTGTTCCCTCACATCTGTAGGCATGTCCTCCTCACACCGGTGTCCTTGTGGGGATCTGTCGGTGCCTTCTTACTGTTCTCTCACATCTGTAGGCATCTCTTCCTCACACCGGTGTCCTTGTGGGTATCTGTCGGTGCCTTCTTACTGTTCCCTCACATCTGTAGGCATCTCCTCCTCACACCCTCGTCCTTGTGAGTATCTGTCGGTGCCTTCTTACTGTTCCCTCACATCTGTAGGCATGTCCTCCTCACACCGGTGCCCTTGTGGGTATCTGTTGGTGCCTTCTTACTGTTCCCTCACATCTGTAGGCATGTCCTCCTCACACCGGTGCCCTTGTGAGTATCTGTTGGTGCCTTCTTACTGTTCCCTCACATCTGTAGGCCTGTCCTCCTCACACCCTCGTCCTTGTGAGTTTCTGAAGGCACTATCTCCCAGTTACTCTTGTCAGATCGTATCCCTGAGGGTATCTGAAGACGCTTTCAAACCTGTCCCTGGCACATGTAGGCATCTAGGTCCACATCCTTGTCCCTTGGTTCCTTTAAGCACTTTAGTTACCAGTGCCTCACATATCTATAATCCTCCCCGCCATATCGCTTGAATATTGTTGAATGCGGCGTTAAACAACAAACAGACAGACAGACTATAGTCCTTACCACTTGAAATAGAATATTGAAGTATCGCAATTAGTAATTAACGAGGGTGGCTTCATATGTGCTAGTACATAAAGAGCAATTCCGGAGAAAGGCAATATTACTTACAGTGTTGACAACAATTGCAAAGTGTGCTCCTAAAAAGATATCAAGTTTGCTGGCAATAAACACCCTTCCTCTTGAGTTTTGATCACATGGTTATGATGATGTGTTTATGAATCACTATCAAATAGTAATGATACTAGGTGTTCGCGAAAAGATTAGTGTTTCCTGCACCACAGACTGTTTTGGCACAAACACATTCAAAGGCATAGCAATTTTTCACCTGAATAAAATCCGGGAACATGTGGCACTGGTTAAAACTGGGAATTGCATCGGACATAATATTTGCCACTGATGTCCTCAACATGTGAACCATACAACTTTTTGAAAGCGTTACCGAGGCCTTGAACGTTGTAACCTTAATCACTTTCTTCTCGCTCATTGAAGAACCACAATGCTTAATGTTGACTGTCACTGCGATAAGGTGATCAATATCATTTTGGGTTTTCTTTCTGTTTCAGATATAAGAAAGCAGTGTGAAGGAATGGACATGTTCACTGAAAAGAATTGTCGAATTTGGTTGAAAAGATACACTTTCGTGTGTAATAACTCTAACTATATTGAGATGCGGGATACTTACAAGGCTAAGGATGTGGGCAATTTCATGAGAGTGGCGAAGCAGATGATTAACAAGCAAAATACATTCATAGTTCTCAGCATCGGCTTACACGATCAGCTTAATTCCAAAAGAGTCCTTCAAGATTTCATGATGCCTGTTTTCCGTCTAAAAGAAAAAGAAAAGTCCTCGTGGCCAAAGCTAATCTGGTCTACGATACACTCTAGATCACATCTAATATTTAGGAAAGACATTCGTGATCATTTTAAGAAAACTAAAGTATTCAACGATATTATGACAACCCATATGATACGCCATGGAGTGCCAGTGTTTGACACGTTCAATATGACACATGGCGTCGTGAGCCCTGATGGCACTCATTATGGGAGTGGCATTAATATCATGAAAGCTCAAATGTTGTTAAATTTTCTTCAAGAAATTAAAAGCAGCAAATTAAAGAATTAAAATAAATGGATATGACAGGCCTTTAGATAGTCACAGGTAATATTATGTACAGTTGAATCTATAATATATATCTCACTCTTATACAGTAGACTACGGTTATAACGAACTCGAGGGGACCACTTATTTTAGTTCGTAATAACCGTAGTTCGTTATAAGAATACATACAGCATATATACAACAAATGGTCGGGACTAAAAATAAGTTCGTTATATCCGTCAGGTCGTTATAAGCGTGTTCGTTATAAACGTAGTTTACTGTATATGCTTCTGCTTTCAGTTATGATAATCGGATATAGTCCGTATGTCTTGAGCGACTTGTGACGAATTATACAACTAGGACACCCGTATATTAAGATAAAGTGTTTCAATGGTACTTGTGTCTGTCACTTGCAACTGCATTGATACTTTCAAGCTGGGTTATTATTCATGCCACTTTCTTGTTCAGTTGCTGAGAGGGTATGTTAGCCCAAGTCATTCAAAGTATTGTTTCATTTTCTGACACGTGTATGGTGTATTTGTACAAAAAAATTCGGCTGGTTTTTTTACAATCACCAGAATCTGAAGGGATGGTGTAAACCCTGCAGGGGAACTGTGCAGGTAACAGAGGTACTGTAACCCACCCCTAGTATGATGAACCTTTGGTTGCTGCTGATCTATACCAAGGTTTTACATCGAACTGTAGTTGTAATAGTTGTACCTTTTTAATGTTCTAATGCTGGTTTTAAATGAAATCTGAGATAATATTGTTCTTGTTCTCTTTGATGTCAACAAGTTTTTGTTTCTTGATACTTCTGAAATGTTCTAGTCACGACATGGCTGATGGCCGATATGACTACCTAACTCATTACCTCCCTCCCTCACTCTCTCTTGTTAAATCGTAACCATGAGACTTGAAGTTACCTCATTTCGTAAGTCAACTCCGGTTATAACAAACTATTTATTCAGTTCGTGATATCTGAAAACTCATGAGAGCTTTTACGATTCATCTGAGTTAACACTGAGCTAATTTCTGCCCGTGGGGAATACGGGATATAATTTGTCTCTTGTGTCCCATTATGGGATCGTTTTCATAGAATTAAGAAAATGTCCATCAGATCATGCTCTGATTCTACGAATATTGTTTTCATGGTCAATGAATTCCATACTATTACCGAGAACTCGGCATTAAGGGGCTAAAACAAGGACTGGTCGGATTACTGTGTCTGAGTTGGGTATTCGTGTTAAACTACGGCATCTGGTATCTCAGTGAGCTAGCACTATAAAATTGGCATTAGTCCGGATTAGCACACACACACACGAGAAAGTGATGCAGGTCTCAGATGTTTACCAGCTTTATGTCGTCATTATCCCACAGCATAACCCTATCACCTGTGGTTGTCGTCATTCTCTTGGTCATCAGTGTGTTGCTTTAAGGTGTTATTAGTGGTACCAGCCCTCTGTCTGGTATATACAACAATCAGTGAGTCAATGAGTTGTGATAAACGCCGCTTTTAACAGTATTCCAGTTATATCACGGCGTGTCAGCTTAATGCGGGAGGAAAGCCCGAAGTGATGCCGATCTCGGACGTTTACCACTATGGTGAAACCCACGAGCACGGGTATGGTGCTGACAAACCTAGAAACATAATCGGGGCGAACCCGGATTCGAACCCACAATCATAGGTTTCTGGCGCGCCCAAGGCGAATCGCGGCGCCTCAGACGACTGGGCCACCCGTGCCCCGGTTAACCCTGGAATCTTGGTCAGAATGGTCACCAATTCCGCTTGCTTGTCTTACGAGCCGATAAAATTGGGATCGTATTGTCACGCCCTGTTTCTGATTGATTGTTATCGTATTCTGATGACGTGGGTCGATACTATTGTATTCAGTCACTGGTCTGTCTGGTCCAGACTTGATATTTACCGGCCGTCCTGATACAGCTTGAATATTGCTGACTGTATTAATTGCTGACATTAAGATCATCAGATTGGTTATAGTCAAGAAAATAGCGCATTCTGGCATTAAAGTCTGCAGATCAAAGATAATGACGGATCATTATAGGTGTCCATGATTGTTTCAATATAATCTGATCAGCGATCCATACCACCGACTTTGTGTAGAGGTGAACTTTCTGGAGGGATACATACGAAGAGCAAAATGCAATACAGTCTTAAAAAAAATCATAAAAACGATGTTATTTTCCACTATCCCATTCATGACAAGTTCTGTGATCCCGCTACTGTCTGGTATCTTCGCGTTAGGTCCAACACAAATGAATGATTAGGAGGGTGTCAAATCGTTTACTTGTCGCACAAAAGACTCAGAAAGCCAATTATTTCATCAGAAAAACTTAGATACTATACTATAGTCCAAGAGAGGATACATCATGATCGGCCTCGGCCTTCTCCTCAATCTTGTTCCTTGTTTGTGCCTAGAGTGGTCTCCCTTCGTGTACTAGTACTTCCGGTTCCGGTGCAGACAAATCCATGTGGGTGGCTCCTGTCAAACCTGTGCTTCGCGGGGTGTTCGTTTCATGTTGCCGGTCTGATACGTACACATAAACCTTTCCATCGACAAAAATATTGTCATCACAACTCTTTGGATTTCTTCCTGCTTTTAGAGCATCCGAAAATAGTGTGCCAAGTGAACGGCGAGCCTCTCTCACTCGCTTTCTTAGATCCTAAGTTACACGTGCTCGTTCATATGGATAATCTTCATCACGCTGTTCTTTAGCCGCTTTTTAGTATATTGTTTCTGTCCTTCCTTACAGACCGCCTCCGTGGTCTTGTGGTAGAGCGTCCGCCCGGAGAGCGGAAGGTCCAGGGTTCGATCCCGGGCCGCGTCATACAAAAAGAAGTTAAAAGATTGTACTTGTTGTTACCCTGTCTGGCGCTCAGCATTAAGGGGCTTAAACAAGGACTGGTCGGCTCGGAGTCAGTATACTGTGTCTGAGTGGGGTATTCATGTTAAACTGCGGCATGGTATCTCAGTGAGCTAGCACTATAAATCGGCATCAGTCCGGACTAGTACAAGCAGCCACACACACACACATACACGTGCATGCACGTCGCTATATAAGTGCAATAATCTTGGACGCGACGTTAAACCCAATTTCACCTCACCTCACGTCACCTTCCTTACAACGAGGGTGGCAATACTTGGTGAGTTGGCTTTGCCCTTTCGGAGTCGATACGCTCTTGTCATCAGGATATCTTCGGCGTCTGTTGCACCAAGTGAATCTTTCATGAATTGACGCATCTATTTTTCAATTGATCCCAGCCCTCTCCCCTTTCTTCGCTGATCCCTTGCAATATCAGGTTAATACGCCTTGAACGAGATTCAGAGTCTTCTGTCTGATCATCTATGGAGAGGAGTTGTTAAAGTGGACTTTTGACCCGTGAAGATTCGGGGGTAGAATAGGTCTTCAGCAACCCATGCATGCCGTAAAAGGCGACTATGCGTGTCATCGATCCCAATCCCGATCCCAATGATTGACATCATTAGCATCGATCCACGCAATTCGGACCGATAACGCCCATCAGCCGAATCAGCGAGCCTGACCACCCGATCCCGTTAGGCGCCTCTTACGACAAGCATAGTCGCCTTTTACGGCAAGCATGAGATGCCGGATCTTCACGGGTCCCAAAGGTTTTGAGAGACCCCCTGGTTGGTCGAATATATTCCATTCTCGCTGGCCTTTGATTAAAGTTATTCATTCTGGTCAATATACTCCTTATATATCCTCGCATAAAGGCGATATTTTTCCTGGTGACAAACCTGCCATCCATATTACAGTTCCTTTCACATACCCGTTACTTGTATTGAACAAAGCACGAAAATTAAACCATACGTGAAATAGGCCAGGGAAAACAAATTTAATGACAGATTATATTCTTTTATGGATTGTTATTCAATCCGGATATCAGAACCATGGAAAACATTGAAAACATGTGCCGTTTCTCAGTGCGGTTGGAATCGGGATCTCTCATCAAACATACGGATTGTGACAATTGTGAATGAATGAGATTGTTTCACGCCGTTCAGCAATATTACATTACATCAGTACGGACACGTGACGATCCGGGGTGGAATAGGTCTTTAGCAACCCATGCTGGTCAAGTGGCGACTAACGGGATCGGGTGGTCAGGCACACTGACTTGGTTGATGCATGTCATCGTGTGATCGATGTTCATGATGTCATTCACTGGATCGTCTGGCCCAGACTCGATTATTTACAGACCGCCGTCATATAGATGGAATATTGCTGAGTGCGGCGTTAAACAACAAAAAACAAAACAAACAAAACATCACTAAGCGTCATAACGTGTCCCAGTGAGAGCCGCATTTCGGTGTGCAGTCCCAGTCGTCTGAGACGCCGCAAGTCGCTATGCAGAGTTGCGTCCCTTTGACACGTCAGAAACCTATGATCGTTGGTTCTTATCCCGTTTCGCACGATTATGTTTCTAGGTTTGTGCTCGTGGGTGTCTCCAAAGTGGTAAACGTCTAAGGCCTGCATCACGTGGGGATTTCCTCCCACATCAAGCTGACACACCGTGATATAACTGGAATATTGTTTAAAGTGACGGTTAACCAAACTCACTCTGGTCCGGATTCGATTACTTTTGTATCTCCTTGATGCAACTAGACCATTGCTGCCTGCGGCGTTAAACAACGCTCACTCACTCATATGTCAAACACACGCTGAACAATTTTGCGTACAAACTAAACGGTCAGCAGCCAAAGTAACATTCGTTTTCTTCCTTAAAACGACCGAACTAAAGACATCTAAGCCAAATGTAATGGAACATTATTGTACTACACACAATTATTCTGTTACCACCAATGGCCTCGCAAAACGAACTTAATCGCTAAATATATGAAACCTTGCTCACACCGGATTAAGTCCCGTGAAGATTCCGGGGTAGAATAGGTCTTCAGCAACCCATGCTTGCCGTAAAAGGCGACTATGCTTGTCGTAAAAGGCGACTAACGGGATCAGGTGGTGAGGCTCGCTGACTTGGTTGATGCATGTCATCGTATCCCAATTGCGTGGATCGATGCTCATGATGTCAATCACTGGATTGTCTGGTCCAGACTCCCATTATTCACAGACCGCCGTCATATAGCTTGAATAGTGCTGAGTACGGCGTTTAACAACAAACCAACCAACCACACCGGGTTAAACACACCCGGTTTCAGTCGCCATT